AAGACTCCAGTAATGAAGACTCCAGACTTGACTTAGACTCCAGCGATAAAGACTCCAGACTTGACTCAGACTTCAGTGATAAAAAATCCAGATTTGACTCAGACTCCAGTGATAAAGACTACAGACTTGACTCAGACTTCAGTGATAAAGAATCCAGACTTGACTCAGACTCCAGTGATAAAGACTTCAGACTTGACTCAGACTCCAGTAATGAAGACTCCAGACTTGACTTAGACTCCAGCGATAAAGACTCCAGACTTGACTCAGACTTCAGTGATAAAAAATCCAGACTTGACTCAGACTCCAGTGATAAAGACTTCAGACTTGACTCAGACTCCAGTAATGAAGACTCCAGATTTGACTCAGACTCCAGTAATGAAGACTTCAGACTTGACTCAGACTCCAGTAATAAAGACTTCAGACTTGACTCAGACTCCAGTAATAAAGACTTCAGACTTGACTCAGACTACAGTGATAAAGAATCCAGACTTGACTCAGACTCCAGTGATAAAGACTTCAGACTTGACTCAGACTCCAGTAATGAAGACTCCAGACTTGACTCAGACTCCAGCGATAAAGACTCCAGACTTGACTCAGACTTCAGTGATAAAAAATCCAGACTTGACTCAGACTCCAGGGATAAAGACTTCAGACTTGACTCAGACTCCAGTAATGAAGACTCCAGACTTGACTCAGACTCCAGTAATGAAGACTTCAGACTTGACTCAGACTCCAGTGATAAAGACTTCAGACTTGACTCAGACTTGAGTGATAAAGAATCCAGACTTGACTCAGACTCCAGTGATAAAGACTTCAGTCTTGACTCAGACTCCAGTAATGAAGACTCCAGACTTGACTCAGACTCCAGCTTAAAGACTCCAGACTTGACTCAGACTCCATTAAAGCCTTGTTCACACTACATTATTTTAAAGCGTCGGGCTGAACTGTGTGGTTCACACTACATGGCTTGCTCTCAGTGAAATCAGGAGTGTTCAAGTTGTTGAGCTGTTCACACAACACAACGTGATTGATCCACAACAGGAGGTAACTCACTACACGAGTCGACAACGCACTACATATAGATACTGTACAACCACAATCGGATGATAAGAGCAAATCATTTGTGACTTTAATGAGAGCTCTTTCAGTACTATGGTATGGTCTAAATCCTGAAAATAATCAAATAAATAACGAGTTGACAACAACTCTGTCATCCAACGATTCTATCTTGTCTACAAACCACGTTTTGTTACGAAAACCAAGCAATAAAACAAACCAAAAATGACGCGAAACAGCACGTGCGGCAATACCCAGTGAAGAAGAGAACACAACACAGCAATATGGACATCAGACAGAAACTAGTGCTGCACACCGTTTGCGCGGCGATGTCCTCTGAGAAAAAAATGCAAAAAAAATAAAAACTAAGATTTACCCGGTGTCCTCAACCCATACGTTGCTATGATTGGCTGTAATTATGACATCACTGAGGTTGAGTCGCGCGATGGCTCTGGGTATCCAGCAGGCTAGATATTTTTCTGGGCTCTGTGACGCATCTACGAGGCGTCTGCGAGCGTTTTCGCTGCGTTGTTGACTCTTTCATACTAACAGATTGGCAATCGTTCATCCTCCTCTAATCCCCCGCAATTTGCATGCAATAACACCCTGACCTGTCGGCGAGCTCAATGATTTGCAAATCGGGCTTAAATTGGGCTTAAAATACTGTAGTGTGAACTTGGCTTAATGAAGACTCCAGACTTGACTCAGACTCTAGTGAAAAAGAATCCAGACTTGACTCAGACTCCAGCGATAAAGACTTCAGACTTGACTCAGACTCCAGTAATGAAGACTCCAGACTTGACTCAGACTCCAGTGATAAAGACTCCAGACTTGACTCAGACTCCAGCAATAAAAACTCCAGACTTGACTCAGACTCTAGTGATAAAGACTCCAGACTTGACTCAGACTCCAGCAATATAGACTCCAGACTTGACTCAGACTCTAGTGATAAAGACTCCAGACTTGACTCAGACTCCAGCAATAAAGACTCCAGACTTGACTCAGACTCTAGTGATAAAGACTCCAGACTTGACTCAGACTCTAGTGATAAAGACTCCAGACTTGACTCAGACTCTAGTGATAAAGACTCCAGACTTGACTCAGACTCCAGTAATGAAGAATCCAGACTTGACTCAGACTCCAGTAATGAAGACTCCAGACTTGACTCAGACTCCAGTAATGAAGACTTCAGACTTGACTCAGACTCCAGTGATAAAGACTTCAGACTTGACTCAGACTTCAGTGATAAAGAATCCAGACTTGACTCAGACTCCAGTGATAAAGACTTCAGACTTGACTCAGACTCCAGTGATAAAGACTTTAGTCTTGACTCAGACTCCAGTAATGAAGACTCCAGACTTGACTCAGACTCCAGCGATAAAGACTCCAGACTTGACTCAGACTCCAGTAAAGCCTTGTTCACACTACATTATTTTAAAGCGTCGGGCTGAACTGTGTGGTTCACACTACATGACTTGCTCTCAGTGAAATCAGGAGTGTTCAAGTTGTTGAGCTGTTCACACAACACAACGTGATTGATCCACAACAGGAGGTAACTCACTACACGAGTCGACAACGCACTACATATAGATACTGTACAACCACAATCGGATGATAAGAGCAAATCATTTGTGACTTTAATGAGAGCTCTTTCAGTACTATGGTATGGTCTAAATCCTGAAAATAATCAAATAAATAACGAGTTGACAACAACTCTGTCATCCAACGATTCTATCTTGTCTACAAACCACGTTTTGTTACGAAAACCACGCAATAAAACAAACCAAAAATGACGCGAAACAGCACGTGCGGCAATACCCAGTGAAGAAGAGAACACAACACAGCAATATGGACATCAGACAGAAACTAGTGCTGCACACCGTTTGCGCGGCGATGTCCTCTGAGAAAAAAATGCAAAAAAAATAAAAACTAAGATTTACCCGGTGTCCTCAACCCATGCGTTGCTATGATTGGCTGTAATTATGACATCACTGAGGTTGAGTCGCGCGATGGCTCTGGGTATCCAGCAGGCTAGATATTTTTCTGGGCTCTGTGACGCATCTACGAGGCGTCTGCGAGCGTTTTCGCTGCGTTGTTGACTCTTTCATACTAACAGATTGGCAATCGTTCATCCTCCTCTAATCCTCCACAATTTGCATGCGATAACACCCTGACCTGTCGGCGAGCTCAATCATTTGCAAATCGGGCTTAAATTGGGCTTAAAATCCTGTAGTGTGAACTTGGCTTAATGAAGACTCCAGACTTGACTCAGACTCCAGTGATAAAGAATCCAGACTTGACTCAGACTCCAGCGATAAAGACTTCAGACTTGACTCAGACTCCAGTAATGAAGACTCCAGACTTGACTCAGACTCCAGTGATAAAGACTCCAGACTTGACTCAGACTCCAGCAATAAAAACTCCAGACTTGACTCAGACTCTAGTGATAAAGACTCCAGACTTGACTCAGACTCTAGTGATAAAGACTCCAGACTTGACTCAGACTCTAGTGATAAAGACTCCAGACTTGACTCAGACTCCAGTAATGAAGACTCCAGACTTGACTCAGACTCTAGTGATAAAGACTCCAGACTTGGCTCAGACTCCAGTAAAGCCTTGTTCACACTACATGATTTTAAAACGTCGGGCTGAACTGTGCGGTTCACACTATGTGACTTGCTCTCAGTGAAATCAGGAGTGTTCAAGTTGTTGAGCTGTTCACACCACACAACACAACGTGATTGATCCACAACAGGATCAGGCTAGATATTTTTCTGGGCTCGGCGACACGTCTGCGAGGCTTTAACACCCTGACCTGTCGGCGACCTCAACGACTTGCAAATCGGGCTTAAAATCCTGTAGTGTGAACTTGGCTTAATGAAGACTCCAGACTTGACTCAGACTCCAGTAATGAAGACTCCAGACTTGACTCAGACTCCAGCGATAAAGACTCCAGACTTGACTCAGACTCCAGTAATGAAGACTCCAGACTTGACTCAGACTCCAGTGATAAAGAATCCAGGCTTGACTCAGACTCCAGTGATAAAGACTTCAGACTTGACTCAGACTCCAGTGATAAAGACTTCAGACTTGACTCTGACTGCAGCTTAAAGACTTTAGACTTGACACGGATTCCAGAATAAAGACTCCAGACTTGACTCAGACTCCAGTGATAACGACTGCAGACTTGACTCAGATGTGTGAACACATCTGCTATACTTATACTAATAGAGATATTAAACACATTTTAAATCTTAATATTAAGAATTGTGCATTGTGCAAGAAAGAAGTACTTAAAAATAAAGTGTCATTATATTGATATCAGTAAGTCTCAAGCGATATGTCAGTCAAAAAGTCCCAGCTTGCTAGGGAGACCGCAGCTTCACTACGTCTGCCCACAACTCTCAAGAGGAAGGGGGCAGACCAAAGCAATGCTGTCCCACCACCCGAACACCTGGCCACAAGCTCTCATGTGTAACCTTACCAAAGGAAGCATAGAATAAGCTTCCTGTCCTCAGGACTTGAAGAGGCCTCAGGAGACAGCCATGCTCTACTCAACCTAAGAAAAACTCAAAAGTGCTTCTGGTCTCATAGCAGCATGATTTATTTGAACTGCGGGAATTATCAAAATATGAAATATTTGATAAAAATATTAGAAATATCACGAATGGATCCAATTGCGGCAAATATCTATCAGGATCTTCTTCCAACACTATACTAAGATTAAGGTTATGTTTTAGGGGGTAATATTTGTTGCAGTGTTGAGCAGCCAATCAGCCCTGTGATTGAAATGCGTTTAGAACTGGCGGGGTTTGTTCTTAACAGTCTTAAGGATAAAAAACATGCTTTTACGTCACATAACATAGTTTGTGTGAGAATTTAATATTCAAAGCTTTATACCCTCATCTCTTATGTCCTGATAAGTATCTGATCTTTTTCTGTAGATGCTGAAGAAGATCAGAACAGAGGAACCACATGAGGAGAATACCACCACTGAGCTTGATGCTCTTCAACACACTGACTGGGTAAAAGACGTTGAAATGGTTGTTTAATTTACTCATATTTGTCTTTGTGATGTCCTGCAGTGTATGAGCTATGGTTCATGTAATAATGAAAACTGTGTGTGTTTGTCTTTTGTTCATTTAGACTCGGCTGTGGGTGCAGCTGATGAAGGAGTTGAGGCAGGGTGTGAAGCTCAAGAAGGTGGAGGAACAGCCGTTTAACCCTCTTCCCACGGAGTTCAGCCTCACGCCCTTTGAGATGCTCATGCAAGATATTCGTTCACGCAAATATAAACTTCGCAAAGTTGTAGTGAGTCCATTCTATAGCTTACTCATGCTAAGGGGAGTGAGGTTGCTGTAGTAAGCACATTTTAAGTGGTTTATCTCTGAATTAATCTTATCCTAACTCGGTAAGTCGACTACATTATGTGTGAGATTATGGCTTCGGAAAGACTTTTCAGCTGATGCAGCATGACAGTGATTAACCATTGTTTTTATATTTGAGACTTACTATAATATCATGAATCTATGCCTCTTCTTTTGCAGGTAGATGGAAATATTCCCACGTGTGTTAAACGAAATGCTCATGAGCTGATTTTGGATTTTATCAGATCAAGACCCCCTCTTAAACCAGTTAGTCGCTGATAATTATCTTGTATTATGAATACTTAATGTGCAATAACACCATGTCCTAACCAGACACAATACAAATACAATTTCTTACTAACACTAACACTTTCTAAGACTTTTTAATTAACTTTAATTAACTTTACTTACATTTCTTACAACTTAATTGTAAAAATCTATAGTAAGCTGTACTATTCACATACTGTTCCATGATTACTCAGAAAACCCAAGTTCAGAATAATTGATTAGTTTGAGTGCCATTTTGTCAAGCAAAAAACAAACAAAAAAAATTAACTTATTTCCTCTACTTCTGCTAATATCTTTCTCTAGTCGCTCTTTCTCTTTTCCCAAAGTCATCTTGAGTATTTAATTGTCAAAACAACTTAAAAACTGAGAGAACCACGTAAGCGGACTTAATAAATTTATGTTGATTTTTCAAAAAAAAAATTGGTTTGTAGTGTTCTCTAAGGTTGGGCACTTGGAACTTAATTTATACTATTGTAATTTTCCTCCTATTGATGCAGCGATGAAACAAGGAATCACAGTTATTTGGTTTATATTATTGATCTGTATAGTTTTATTTTTATGTTATCACTGTGAAGCTGCTTTGTTTACAATCTGTATTGTAAAAAGCGCTATATAAATAAAGGTGACTTGACTTCCCAAATAGCAAACTGACATTGAATCAACGTGGAAACGACGTCTCTCATGACATTGAAACAACGTTGATTTTGCTCATCGAATTAACGTTGAACCAACGTCAGACGCGGCATTCTTCAAAGCTAAATGAAAATCGAAAATTGGTTTGCTTTCATAACGTTGAAACAACGCGTTGATTTCAAGATGATTTTCCGTTAGTTTTGAAAGAATGACGCGTCTGACGTTGGTTCAACGTTAATTCGATGAGCAAAACAATTTTAGATCAACGTTGTTTCGATGTCATATTTCCACGTTGATTCAATGTCAGTTTGCTATCTGGGTTGACTTATATGTCAAGAGTATGTCACGATTTCCGTTTTCATGGTAACTGCGACTTATGATTGGTTGATCTCTCTTCATGATTATGGGTAGTGGTGTTTTTAACTCTGAATTTTTAATGTTGATTTGGTCCCGTTTTATATATCATTTTTATAGATGTCTCTAACTACTATTTATATATTGACAATGCGATTAAATGAAGGTACTTTAAATGTAAGTACAATGACTGTAAGTACAACATGAATGTAAGTATGTATAAGTAATTTGCATCAAATGCTGTATTTTAATGTAGGCAGAGACACTTAAATATAAAAACAAAATCGAAAGCATTTTTGCTTCTAGTTACAACAAGACAAACTATTTGTCACTGAAAATGTATCACATTGTGCCAGGTTTGGACACAGTGTAAAACTTAACAAGTATTTTTAAAGTGCCAAGTACTTTATTGTGAGATTAATTGTTTTTAGCGAACTATTGTGTTTGATTGTGAAAATGTCATCTTTCTCAAACACAGCTGTCTGCCTTTCCTTGAAATGGTGATTTATATTAATTATCTTAGTCAGTATTGCGTTCACAGCTCTCTCTGAAGAAGAGAAAGAAAGAGTGGTCAGAGAAAGAGACAGAAAACCATCAGCAATACGAACGGACGGTTTTGTTTGAAGACTTTCCTGACTTCCGCAGGTTTCTGAGCGCTGTTTGCCTCCTGCACCCCAGCGACCGCAGTCGCTCCATGATCGAGTCCTGGCTGAGATCAGGCAGGACCACAAACTGAAACCTGTGGAGCCACACAGTACCAAGAGATGTATGTTAATCTCGTATCACACCAAAACAATACAAGTTTTTACAAACAGCGTCCTTACAATATCCTCCTTGACATCTGTAGTTCTATTCAATTATGTGTTACGTAGATCACTCAAAGCAATGTTTTGTCACTCTTCAGCATTTGGCTCATTACCATGTCTGGTACACACCTGCCAATGTGACATCAAATCCACTTCCTGCATTGACCTGTCAGTCGCAGGAGCAGCGTACCGGCCACCGTCCCGCATTCGCGTTCTGCTAAAAGCTCCAACACTGGCAGAAATGGAGGAGATGAATATATTTGAGGTAAGATATTTCAGTGCAGTCAGCATTTCTTTTATGATCTTGCTCTTTCCTTTGGGGCAACAATGGTCATGGAGAAAATTTTGACTTTTAAGGAAGAGTTGCATTCTTTAACCAGCATAATTCACATTTCAGAAGAATTTCAGAAGCTGATTTGTTGGAAAACTCTGGTTGATCTCTAGATTTAAATAATTAAGCCTCTATGTTTTTTATGAAGGATGAAGAATCTCCAGATGGTATGGATATCAGGCGGGTGGAGAGCTCTCCTACACCTCTGAAGAGAGATCGCTCCTTCTCTGAACACGACCTGGATGAGCTCAGAGGGGAAATGATGTCATCCCGCTCAGAACCTCCTCAGCTCACAGGAGTTGGTTCCCTGAGAGGAGAGAGACCTCGATCACACACGCTGACGGGGGTCAGACCACCACACATCTATCAAGGTCAGACCTGGGTAAACATCTGTAAGACAGAAAAGTTGCTCAGCAAATTTAACGAATAGATAATTATATTTTTCTGTCAACATCAAACTTGAACACATACAGTACATTTACACTAAATACAACTAATAATGCGTAAAAACACAGCATTTATTTTATTTAAGGACCCCCTCCGGTGGTGAAAATCAAGTTTTTAATGTTGTTTAAATGTCTATGTGGTGTTTTTAATATGCTTTAAAACAAATTATGTGCAAATTCATAAGTCAACAGCATTGCTGAGTATTTTCTCCTTAAAACTGCAGTGAACCAAAGACAGTTTCAAGAAACATGGTTTGAAATCGTTGGTATTTCTTACGTCACAAACTACCTTGTAACCAATTAGGTCAACGTAGTGGGTGATTTATGTTAGGTGATTATACAATTATGTATATGATGTATATTACGATTTTATGATGAACATATGCAATTCTGACGCTTGACGTTCTGAGTAGTTCAAATTGTTTCTAAGGATGTTGATTTTTAGAAGGCAGCTGTCCGACTCTGAGCAGAGGAACATGGTTTGAAATGGTCAGTAATGTGTCCGACGTTGTAGAGCTTCAAATTTAAAATGCATTACCTTTCTGATGGACTACATCGACTTGTAGACGACCCTGTATGAGTGAGGCGGGGCTCGTTTGCATATTCACGGATCCACATAAATAAAGCAAGTTACATTCAAGTTATTTTAAGGCTTGATTAAAAAAAAAATCACAGGAAAAAATTGAAATATGCTATTTTGATAATCAAAGATGAGTTTTAAGGGATAAAATGATTGACTTCAGGGGGATTTTAACTTAATAACAGTATATTTACCATAAATCATATTAGTGAACACTTATGTGCAATAAACGTGGTTTTGAATCAGTTAATTGGAATGAACCCTGTGAACAAACTGATTTGCGAAAGCTGGTATCTGCAAAGCTGAACTACGTTGAAAACATCTTGACGATACTGTTTGCTCTACAATGTAAATTACACACACCCTATCACCATTCTGTTCAGTTTAGTTTCACATTCATGGACTTTCAGTATGTTTTTATTTGTCATGTGTATTCTTTGTTCAGATTCCCGCCACTCATTTGTCTCCTTTGTTATCATTAGTTCATATGTGTCAGCTGTATGTGATGAATTATCCTCGTTTTTGTTCCTTCACCTGCACTTCTTGTTTGGTATTGTTTGTGTCTGCATGCTGTTTCGCATTTTTTTATTTTTTTTATTTATCCTTTATTTTACCAGGATAGTCCCATTGAGATAAAAATCTTTTCTTCCAGGGAGTCCCAAAATGCCAGCACAAAAAAGTTTCACATATAATACAATACAGACATAAAACGTTCTTGGTTACTGACGTAACCTTCGGTTCTCTCTTGAAGAGGGAATGAGTACTGCGTAATATCTTACGCTAGGGGAAACACCTCTTTCCTCGAGATATTGAAGCCAAATAATTATCCTTAATTTTGTAGTAATGTTAAAACGCGTTGCGGCAGTATGCAGACATATGCAAGGCGGCTTAGCGTGCCTTTTGGCTGTCCTATGGCAACTGCAGCAGCCTATCGAGAGCAGCCCTTTGGTGACGGTCCAATGCACCCACTGCGTCACATTCCCGCCGAATCAGGCGTGGCCTAGCCCTATAAATATAGCTTGATGGGCTGATATCACTTTTCATCACCGAAGCGAACCAGAGCGTGTTGCAGGAACAGCAAGATACGCAGTACTCGTTACCTCTTCTAGAGAGAACCGAGGTTACATTAGTAACCGAGTACGAGAGGTTCTCTACTACTGCGTGTGGCAAAGTGTGTTTGGGCAGCTCTACTATATAAGGATTTGATACTATCTCCGACTACGCCACCTGAGGAATTTCACCGCAAGAATTTAACAACCTCTACTCAGAAGGCACACGCAGATCCTAATCATGGATGAATCAGAGACAATGGTAGTCGTACAAAAGTTTATTAATTTTTAAGACACAATAATTTAAAAAGGTGTTGACCAGCAATCACTCTCATCAATTTGTTAAATCCTATCGTTGGCAGCAGAGGAACCTGGGCTTACCAACAGGGGCAGTCTCAAGATATCACCCTTAGAAAAATCACTCTTTTCACGGTGCACACACACCCACAAGCACACACTCAGCAACTCATGTCAGAGAAGACCACGACACACAGTGAGGATGCCACCACCAAAAGATCACTCGTCTGACCCCCGGCCCCGGGTGCCCAGGTCCTGCCGACAAATGAAGAGAAGACAGTAAGAGAGAGCCTTGATATGCACAGAAAACAAAATACAACAAATTAATATAATCCCCAGAAGGGACCAACCATTTGGTCACCATCCAGTCATCACAATCAAAAACGCAAAAAAACAAAAAACAAAAGATAAACTCAAATTAAATAAAATCACTAAAGGAAATAATCCAAAAAATTCAGCAGTTTGACTCAAGCAAACAGTGTTTGCAAGCAACACGTTAATTCAAACAGATTCAAAACATACTCGAACATGGAAATCAATGAAAGAAATAAAACACTAAGCATATCACACTTCCTTACTGAGCCTAAGGCCAGAAAGTTCACTTTAAAATTAAAGTCATGAGAAACGTTTCAGTCCCGTGCTAGACACGGGGAAATCAGTGGAAACAGAAGAGCAGTCGTTGATGAAGCAGGACGTTGGAGCAATCAGCACTTTAGGATGAGGCACAGCAGGTAATACTCATTCGGAACGCTGCTATTTCCCTTAACGCGTGCTTAAAAACAAACAGAAGATGTTACACTGCGATTCATTCACCCTTGGCTTCACGTGCGAGTAATATACTTACAGCAAAACATGCTGTCTCCGGATCACATCGCAAACAATGCGGTGGATAAAGCCAAATTTCTCCGACAAAACTCATTGGCCGGAACGCAGATAGGTCGTACACTACGTGAATCATACAGATTAGTCAAATTGCCATTCAAAGTGACCCAAAAGCACTGGGTCACTTGTCCACACCTGACTCTACGGGAAGCACCCACACTCAGTAGACATCACAGCCATTAGGCCATGTCCACACTAATACGTCATCGTTTGAAAACGTATATTTTTCTCTCCGTTTTGGCCTTCCATCCACACTGAGACGCCGTTTTAAGTCAACAAAAACGTATCGTTTGGAAAACGCTCTCCGAAGTGGATAAATTTGAAAACGCCGTTTTCGCGTTGTAGTGTGAACAGTGAAACCGGAGGTATTTCAAAACGATGACGTAAGTTTAGTCATGTGATCCATGTAGTACCAATAGATATTCATGTTTATCGGTAGGCCTATTTTGCCTGTTATGTGTTATTCATTTTTACACTATTGCTAAAATATGTTACTTTCTATGTTACTTAATATGTGCTATTCTTCATAGCACTACAAAGATATTGTACTTACATTTGCTGTCCTGCGGCAAAACAGGAGAGCATTTGCGTTTTAGACCAAACATAGGGTGACTGAATGCGACCTGGACGCATCAGTGATGGTGAGATATTTTGCTAAATAAAATTATCCTGTTATTGTGTGATAACATTATTATCTCAGTGAGCTTTTGTGAAGTTTCAAGCATGCGCAGGAAAGTGAATTTAGAAGTTTCTCATCCACACTGAAACGTCGGAAAACGGCTGAAAACGCTAGTGTGGACGGAGAACCTTTTTTAAACGAAAACCCCGTTTTCAAATGTATCCGGATTAATGTGGACGTAGCCTTAGATGACAGCTTCAGCGCTGTTTACGGGCAACCAACTCAACAGTGCACTCCAGCCAGGAAAGCAGCAGGGCGCGAGGGTGACGTCACGGCACCAGAAAATGAACTGGTAGTTCACCAGTTGTTCACTGGTAGTTCACCAGATGACACATCAATGAACTGCTAGTTTGTGCTCTTATACGCAACAGGTGACAGGCCATTGGCCAAACCACAAACAAGTAGGAAGGGTCATATCGTACGCTAGGGGAACACTATGTAAAATGCCGTGCGTGCAGGGATCCAACACCAAAGTCCCAAGGGGCAAGTGCCCGGGGCTCATATAGTGCATAATAACCATGAACTGAGAAGAGCAGCAGCATCCTTCTCAATAAGTTAGCAACCAAAAGGGGGCTAATTGTTGTAACAGTGTCACACACAGCCAGGGTGAAGAGAGAACTTCGGCCTGAACTGAGTAACAGTATGGGCATTGTTTTTCCCTTGGGAAAAAGCTTCATCGGTCAGCGAGCAGTGCTCAAGCGAGTGCAGTACTCTGTGCCAAAGCTACGGGGCAGATGATACCTGATTTTAAACCGACAGCAGTTTAGCCTTTAAGGCGGGAACTTCTAGGTTATAAACCCTTATAAATGTAGACTGGGAGGCCCAGCCTGCCGCCATACAGATATCTTGTAAGGGTATCAGAGGCCATGCCTCTGGTGGAGTGCGCTCTAACACCTAAAGGGCATTCAAGTCCCTTTGTAGTGTATGCCAGTGCTATGATAGGGTCTGTTTCGAGGCGGCTAGGCCCTTGGCCCGACCACTGAACAAAACAAAGGACTGCTCAGTCTGTATGAAAACAGATGAGCGAGATACACACCCTGAGGCTATAAACTGAGGCCTATGTTTTCTTCCTCATTATTAACCGGTAAGGCAGACAGGGAGATGCTTGGGCCCTGAACGGTGTGTTGAGGGATTTAGGCACGTTTCCGTGTCTTGGTTTGAGTATGACCTTTGAGTCATTAAGCCCAAATTCTAGACACGTCGCGCTCACTTAGAGCGCTTGTAGATCCCCTATGTGCTTTACTGACGCAAGAGCCATGAGAAACACTGTTTTGAACGACAGGTGTTTCATATCCGATATCTTCATCGGCTTGAATGGGGCTCCTTTCAAGGCTTCTAGAACCATGGAAAGGTCCCACATGGGGATAGAGGGGGGTCTGGGAGGATTCAACCTCTTAGCTCCCTTTAGGAAACGAATGACCAGATAATTTTTCCCCAG